GATATATATACATGCACCACAACTTTTTTATCCACTCATCTGTTGATGGGCACTTGGGTTGCTTCCATATCTTGGCTATTGTAAATAATATTGCATTGAATATGGGGATGTATATAGTCTTTCGAATTAGTGTTTTGGATTTCTTCGGATATATATCCAGAATTGGAATTGCTAGGTCAGAAGGCAGCTTCATTTTTAATTTTGAGGAACTGGTTTTTCCATAGTGCATTCTCACCAACAGTACATGAGGATTCCCATTTCTCTACATCCTTGCCAACACTTGTTTGTTGTTTTATTGATAGCCATTCTGATAAGTGTGAGATGATATCTCATTATGATTTTAATTTGCATTTCTTTGACAATTAGTGATGTTGAGCATCATTTCATATGTCTATTGGCCATCTTCATGTTCTCTTTGGAGAAGTGTCTATTCAGGTCCTCTGCCTGTTTCTTACTGGATTGGTTGATTTTTTGGTATTGAGTTCTTTAAATTGAGTTGTAATTCTAGTTTGGTCCTGGGAGGAGGTAAATGTAACTTCTACCTACTCTGCTGTCATCTTGGATCTCTGATTGATTTTGAATTTTTTGGTTTTGTCAGGTACTAAAGTAAAGTACAAGTATATATTAATTGAAGACTATCCACTACTGAATTAACTTACCAATTTTCCTTAAACGGTTTTGGACTTGTCTGTAGAACAATTCTAAATAATTTTCTTAATTTTTAATGTTACAGTACTCTATTGATTTAATTACTGTGTCATAATCTCTGTAACCAATCCACCATTGTTGGATACTTTGACAGTGTTTGTTTTCTTTTGTTTGCTCTTGAATGACATCATGTATATTTTGTGTATGTAGCTTTTTATTACTGAGTACTTTCATTTGGATGGATTCTTGGAAGTAGGATTATTACTGAGTACTTTCATTTGGATGGATTCTTGGAAGTAGGAGTTTTTTTGTTTGTTTTTATTGCCTTTGATACTGCCATACTGCTTTTTAAAGTAGTCGTACCTATTTACAATGCCACCAGCACAATTTAAATGTCTACTGGAGACATTTGATTGTATAATACACCGTCAGTTTATGAATTGCTAAGAAAAAACTGTTTCTATTAAACTGACACAATGATTTTTAATTTAGAATTTTTTTTTTTTAATCCTCACCCGAGGACATTTTTCCATTTTTTGTACAGATAGAGTGGGAGGGAGAGAGAGGAAGAGAGAGAGAGAGAGAAACATCGACGTGAAAGGGACACATCGAGTGGCTGCCACCCACACGACCAACCAGGGCCGGGGACAAACTGCAACCGAGGTACGTGCCCTTAGCGGGAACCGAACCCGGGTCTCTCCGGACCACAGGCCAACGCTCTAACCGCTGAGCCAAACTGGCCAGGGCAATTTAGAATTTTTATTATAAGATACCATTTAGGCCCTGGCCAGTTTGGCTCAGCGGTTGGAGTGTGGGCCTGCAGACCAGAGAGTCCTGGGTTCGGTTCCTGCTAGGGGCACATACCAAAAAAAAAAAAAAGATACCATTTAGGTGTAGATAGACATAATATTTTTATCATATTTTGAATATACATTAAAAAGAAAAAACAAGCCAATATAAATAGAGTATTTCTAAAGCGGTTAGAGCATCAGTCCTCAGACCAAAGAGTCACAGGTTTGATTCCCGGTCAAGGGCACGTACCTCGGTTGCGGGTTCGATCCCTGGTTTTTGTCAGGATTGTGCAGGAGGCAACCAATTGATGTGTCTCTCACATCGATATTTCTCTTCCTCCCTACCTCCCACTTTATCTAAAAACCCAATGGAAAAATACCCTTGGGTGAGGATTTACAAACAAAAACCCACAAACAAACCAATAATCAAATTAAAAATGGACTTGAATAGATATTTCTCCAAAGAAGACATACAAACGGCCAACAGGTCATCAGGGAAATGCATCAAAACCACAATTAGATATCACCTTAAACCTATTGGCTTGGCTATTATCAAAAATACAAAAGACAGGAAATATTTGTGAGAATGTAGAGAAAGGGAAACCTTTGTGCACTGTTGATGGGAATGCAAAATGGTGCAGCTGCTTTGGAAAACAGTTTTAAGGTTCTGCAAACTATAGAACTACCATATAGCAGTCCCACTTCTGGCCATTTAAACAAAGGAAGTGAAATCAGAATCTCAGAGAAATCTATGCACTCTCATGTTCATTGCATCACTAATCATAATAGCGAGGATATGAAAACAACCTAAATGTCATAGTGGAGAAATGGATTAAGAAAATGTAGATTCATACACTGGAATATTAGCCTTGAAAAAAATCCTGCAATATGTGACAAGTTGCATGAACCTTGAGGAAATGATGCTAAGTGAAATAAGCCAAGCTATAAGGACAAATACACAATTCTATTCAACATACATAAACTTAGTCATAGAAGCAGAGTAGAGCGATGGTTGCCAGGAACTGGAGAAGGTGAAGTGGAAAGTTGTTAGTCAGGGATAATGTTTCAGTCATGCAGGATGAAATTTCTCGAGATCTGCTGTACAGCATTGCGCCTATACTTAACTGTACTCTTAAGAATCTGTTAAGAGGGGAAACTTCCTGTTAAGTGTTTTTATCACATTTTAAAATGTTGATACAGCATTTCTTCTGTTTCTGAACAATTACATGATGCCCTCCAACATAAAATGCATGTTAATTTCAGATATGCTAAAATGTGAAACATTGTATCCTAAAATAGGGTGATTTTATTTTATAAGGGTATCATTATTTAATGTTTCTCCCTAACCCAGTAAGGTACAAAAATGCCATCCATATCAATTTTAACTTACATTTTTATTGTTAATGAAATTGAACATTGAATCAGTGTCTGTAGGAGTATTATTTTAGCAACTGTTGTAAAGATCTTTAGTATTGAAATTAAAGGTAAGATTGTTGTTTCTCATGGTATTCAAGTTTACCAAATTTTCCTCCAAAGGAGACCATTTAATGTAGATATTACCTGCCTTTTTTTTTTTTTTTTTTTTTTAATATCCTCACCCAAGGACACTTTCTCCATTTTTTGTTTAGATAGAGTGGGAGGGGGAGAGAGAGAGAGAAATATCGATGTGAATGGGACACATTGAGTGGCCGCCACCCGCACGACCCAACCAGGGCCGGGGACAAACTGCAACTGAGGCACGTGCCCTCAGCAGGAACCGAACCCGGGTCTCTCTGGACCACAGGCCAATGCTCTAATCGCCGAGCCAAACCAGCCAGGGCATTACCTGCTTTTTTAAAAAAATGGAGTTTAAGTATTATTCTCTGGAATTTATGACATGTGCTAAGCTATCATTCTTGAACTTGTACATTAGTATCACTAGGGAGCCTGTTGAAATGTAGCTTCTTGGTCCTGTTGCAGAGTTTGAGTAGCTTAGTGTGGAGTAAGGTACAGGAATCTGTTTATAACAAGGGCCCCAGGTTATTGCATGCTTGTGGCTTTTGCTGAGAAGCTGTGAAAGGTTATGAGGTAGTTGGAGCAACAGGCTTTCTGAGAACCTCTTTGGTAATAGTAGCTGTAAATTTTTAGGAGTCGAATACTTGATTAGAAAGCCATGGAAACTTGTTAATAAGGTGCTTTTAATGTTAGGGAGTCAGGAGGATTGTTGAATGTCACATAATTTTATCATTTACAAAAATTGGAAAAGACAAATGGAGATTTTTGTTGCAGTAATTTTTTTTCCCTTTATTGATTTTAGAGAGAGAGGAAGGGAGAGGGAGAGAGAGAAAGAAACATCTATGAGAGAGAACATTGATTGGCCACCTCCTGCATGCCCCCCCAACTGGGAATCAGACCCACAACCTGGGCATGTGCCCTGATGGAACCGGTGACTTCTTGGTGCCAAATGCATAGGTCGATGCTCAACCACTGAACCACACTGGCTGGGCACAGTAATTCTTTTTTTTTTTTTTTTTATCCTCACCCAAGGTCATTTTTCCATTTTTTGTTCAGACAGAGTGGGAGGGAGAGGAAGAGAGAGACAGAGAGAGAGAAACATCAGTGTGAAAGGGACACATTGAATGGCTGCCACCTGCATGACCAACCAGGGCCAGAGACAAACTGCAACCGAGGTACATGCCCTTAGCGGGAACTGAACCCAGGTCTCTCTGGACTGCAGGCCGACGCTCTAACCACTGCGCAAAACTGGCCAGAGCACACAGTAATTTTTTTTATTGGTAATTGCTATTCAGAGCTATCTCAGTTTCTCTTATGTCTAGAATGAACAGATTAGGTTAAAACAAGGTTTGTTAATCAGAATGTAAGCCCTGGCTGGTTTGGTTCACCTCCTACTCTATCTGAACAAAATATCAAAATATGTCCTCGGGTGAGGATAAAAAAAAATCAGAATGTAAGCTCCACGAAGGAGGTGGTGTTCTTATAATCATAGAGTCTTAAACATTGTGCTTGGAACATGATAGGCATTCAGTAATATTTGTTGAATGTATGAATATGCAGAACAATTTTTACGAATCAGATACTCTTCAGTGAGTAAGAGTTTGCTTTGAATCACTTAAAATTGCCTATTGGAAGTTGTTGCAATTCATCTTTTAAAATGTATACTAAACCTATGGATTTTTTTGTTTGTTAATCCGTAACTGAGGATATTTCTTATATTGTTCTTTAGAGAGAGTGGGAGGGAGGGAGTGCGAGAGAGAAACATTGATGTGACAGAGACATATTGATTGGTTACCTCCTGCACAAATCTCAACCAGGGCTAGGGATGGAAACTACAACCCAGGTACATGCCCTAGACCGGGAATCGAAGCTGAAACCCTTTGGTGCAGGGACCGACACTCTAACCACTTAGTAACACAGGCCGGGGCAACTTACAGATTTTAAATTGAGGTTCATTTGTTGCTAAAATTGTGAGAATAATTATATCATTTATATTCTTTCCATGTAAATTACGTTTTAAATTTATGATTGGTATTGCAATTAAAAGCATTTTTATTTTCCTTTTAGGAGTTAACGGAGCAGTTTCATCAGGTTGAATCTCAACTGAACAAACTAAATCATCATCTTACTGATATTCTTGCTGATGTAAAGACAAAAAGAAAAATTTTGGCATCTAATGAACTGCATCAAATGGAAAGAGAATTATATGTATATTTTTGTAAAGATGAAGATTATCTGAAAGATGTCGTGGAGAATTTAGAAAACCAATCAAAGATTAAGGCTGTTGATCTTAAAGATTGAAAATTACTGAAGACTGAGTCTTTACTATATATGCTGTGTTTTAATGTTTTACATATTAGGAGAATATAGCTAATAAACAGTACTAAAAAATTAAACTTGAGGTCAATTGAACATTTAATTTAATGAATTTAAGTATTGTATCAGTTTGTTTTTTTCTTTCTATAATATGTTTGTTCAGTGTATTAGCGCTTTATATGACTTGAGCATTTACTTGGTGGCACTTAGCCCTGGTAGCTTTTTACTTATAGGGAAAAAGCATTACAGTAGCAGTCCCTTTATCTGCAGTTTCCGCTTTCTTCTGTTTCAATCACCTGCAGTCAACCACAGTCTGAAATACTAAATGGAAAATTCCAGAAATAACTAATAAGTTTTAAAGTTCCCACTATTCTGAAGTATGTGATGAAATCTCACACTGACCTGCTCCATCCAGTTTGGGACATTAAGCATCCTTTTATCCAGCATGATGTCTGCACTGTATACTACCTGCCTTTTAGTCATTTAGCTGTCTTTGTTATCGGATCAACTGTCACAATACTGCAGTGCTTGTGTCCCAGTCACCCTTACTTAATAATGGTCTCAAAGTGCAAGAAGAGTAATGCTGGCAATTCGGATATGCTAAAGAGAAGCCGTAAAATTCTTCCTTTAAGTGAGAATGTGTATATAGGAATAGACTAGGTCACAGGGTTCTGTTTGGTTTCAGGCTTCCACTAGGGGTTTTGGAATGTATTTCCCATGGATAAGGGGGACAATTGTATTATAAAATGCAAATATTTTTAATAGAGCTATATTTTTAATTGTTTTATAGAAATGGAAATTTTCTGCTGTTAAATATTTTTTAAATTTGTAAAACTTTGAGCATTGTTAAAGCTGTAGAGCTTAATATATGAAATAGCCAAGTCTATATTTGACTGTAAAGTAAAAAACTGTCACTCTGACTGTATTCTCTCATAATTTTCTGCTATAGACTTTGAGACTCTTAATGTTCTTACTTAGACCACAATAAATGTTGGGTGTCTGTGGGCTATTGTTCATTTTACAGGCTGGGTCCTGGGCACTCAAAATTTCTGCAAGACATTTCAGCACTGCTTTAACTTCAGTGTGACTTACAAATGAATGACTTTTAAATGAAATTTCAAAATTTCGTAGACGTGGTTGCTCAAAGGATGCACAATGCTTTTTTTAAAAAATCCTCACTTGAGGATATTTTTTCATTTATCTTCAGACAGAGTGGGAGGGGGAGAGAGAGAAACATCGATGTGAGAGAGAGTGATGGGTAGCCTCCTGCACAGCCCCAACCAGGGCTGGGAACTGAACTGCAACTGAGGTATGTGCCTTTGCCCGCAATTGAACACAGAACACTCTGGTCTGTGGGCCGACGCTCTTAACTGCTGAGCAAAACGAGACAGGGCCATAATTCTATTTTAATCAGTTTCTTTGGTGTGAAAATATTTATTTATTTATTTTTTTTATCCGCACCCAAGGACATTTTTCCATTTTTTGTTCAGATAGAGCGGGAGGGAGAGAGAGGAAGAGAGAGAGAGAAACATCGATGTGAAGGGACACATCGAGTGGCTGCCACCCGCACGACCAACCAGGGCCAGGGACAAACTGCAACCGAGGTACGTGCCCTTAGCGGGAACCGAACCCGGGTCTCTCTGTACCGCAGGCCGACGCTCCAACCGCTGAGCCAAACCGGCCAGGGCTGGTGTGAAAATATTTAAATGGGATATAAATGTAGTATTTGGAAAATTAGAAATTAAGAGTTAGTATAAAATAATTTGAAGTAGCTTATTTATCAGTTATTACATCAAATGCTTCTTTAATGCCTAATTTATTCATGGTCTCTGTTATATGCTATGTAAGCTTTATAAAGAAAAGATAATAGGTATTACCTTCAAGAACATTCTTGCTCCAAGACTATACTACCTGCTCTTCATATAAAAAAACTACATTATAGGTGATCTTTATGGAATGTTTCAACTATGCCATCAGAAAATGGGTATGTGTAGGTGACAGATGAGGCCTGATAATTTTTGTATTCCATTGACCAAAAATGTTTTGCCAATTATTGTATTTGTAGATTATTTTAAAATTTATGAAGTAGATCTTAATATGCTTCAGAAATTTTTTTCTGATTCTAGCCTTGGAATAGATAATTAAGTTTGATTTTTCTCCAGAAATGTGGTGAAAAATATGTCACGTGGTTTACTGGCTAATGAAATAGCAAATTCTGTTAAAATTAGTGCCAAATATGTTAGATGTCTGACCAGCTACTTGGTTATTTGTACTGTCCCTTCCAGACCTTCACTTGCTCAGCCCAGGGGCCCAGTACAGCTGAGCAGTGTGAGTGAAAGAATGTCAGGTTGTATGTCTGTCATTATGCAAGTCAGTTAAAAATAATTTTTATGTTATTAGATTTGTATATTTGGAAAGTACAACAGCTGTCTGAAATCTCGGAGTATTTGAGTAAATTGCTTGCTTCAAAATTGGTTAACTAGAAAATAGGTTTCTTTACTTTGTTACTTATTCCTCATAATACCCCAAATGAACCTCTAACCATTGCTTTCTTATTAACTATCCTATATGTAAAGGGGACAGTTAATACTTATTTCTTGTGTTTGTTAATGTAGTAATTTTTATGAAGGTCTCAGTACATAAAAAATTTCAAATGTTTTCTTATTTTGAAATCTCAGAATTAATATATAGGTATTATGTTTATCTTATGTTTAGGATTTTATGAAAATGGAAAATTCTGAGGCATTTGTAGGCTTTGATCTCTGTAAGATACCACTCTCCAGTGTTGCTCAGAAGATTATGTCTGCTATGCATTCAGGTGATTTAGTGGAATCTAAGAATTGGACAGAAAGTGAAAAGAGTGAGTAAATTTTTATGAACCTTTCTGTCTTTTGTTACTTTGATGTTATTATTATTTTTTTTAAATCTTACGTGAGGATTTTTTTCCATTTTATTTTTAGATAAAGTGGGGTGTCGGGAGCGTGGGGGCAGAGAAACATCTATGTGAGAGGCACATCAACTGGTTGCCTCCCACACTACCCCGACCAGGGTTGGGGACCGAACTGCAACCAAAGTGCTTGCCCTTGGCTGGAATCGAACCCGCAACTCTGGTTTGTAGGCCTATACTCCAACAACTGAGTCCAACAGGCCAGGGCTGATGTTAATTCTTAAGACTTAAGGTTTGGAAATGAAATGTAGCAAAACTATTCCATAGAACTTAAAGTGTGTGGGGAGACTCCTGCCTGGAAACAGATGAAGTAAAGCTCTCCCTCTCGACTCTCACTAAATTCCACATTCTTTTAGCCTTTAGTTGCTTTTTAAAATAAATGTTTTCACGGGTTTTTTTAGAGAGGGAAGGGAGAGAGAAACATCAGTCGGCTGCCTCCTGCATGTCCCCTACTGGGGATCACGCCCACAACCCAGGCATGTGCCCTGACTGGGAATCAAACCGGGAGCCTTAATTGCTTTTAAGTGTATCACTCTATTCCTTGTTCCAGGCATTTCTGTAAGATATTGTCTTAGAATCCGATCAGCTGCTTAACCTCAAAAGATGAGGGCTCCTTGATAGTACCTGTCAGCTTTAGTTCTCGGGTCACTGAACCTGTACATGGTCCAGTCAGCCCTTCATATTTGTGGATTCTGAATCTGCAGGGTCAATCAATTGCAGATAGGACTGTTAGGGAAAAAATCCCAGAAAATTCTGGAAAGCAGCAAAACTTGAAATTTACACACAACCAGTACTATGCTGAATGAAGTGATATGTAGGGGTACCCTGCTGTAGTCTTTGTGCTAATACAGATTATATGTAAATACTTTGTCATTTTATGTATGGGACTTGAGCATCCCCAGACTGTGGTAGCCCTGGGAGTCCTGGATTTGATCCCCACGGATACTGAAGACGACTGTATTTTCTTACTGTGTGTGGTGGACAAGAGAAATGTTTTTGTATATTATACTGATATAGAAAGATGTAAACTCTTACGGGGCAGAGGTCGGTGAATCTGTGTACGTGTTCATGATGTGGTACAATAGTAAAAGCTGTGACATAGACTCACAGGTGTGACTAGCACACTTTTTATCCCCAACAAACAAAGTACAGTGATACCTTGGTTCTCGAACATAATTCGTTCCAGGAGGATGGTCGAGAACCAAATTGTTCGAGAACCGAAGCAATGAAACCCAATAGGAAATAATGGAAACTGGATTAATTTGTTCCAAGCCCCAGAAAATGCCTATTTACTGGCCTAATTTGTATATATATGTAGAAAAACATAAGTCTCAACAAGAAATAAAAGTGTACAGTATGTCTAAGGGTTAAATTCAGTGTAAAGCGTGACTCTCTCCACAAAGCGTGACTCTCTCCACAAAGCGTGACTCTCTGCACTCACACTGATGACGCAAGCAAGGCGTGCTGGGCCGAATGAACGCCATTCGGCTCAACTCGGCTCATCTCGGAAGTTCGAGTTCCAAATATTTGTTCGGATTCCAAGACAAAAGTTTCTCGAATCTCCTGGTCGAATACCGATTTGGTCGAAATCCGAGGCGTTCGAGAACCGAGGTATCACTGTAGTTTTTATTTTTAATTTGTAAGTCCTGGCCAATAATTTGTTATTTGTTTCTTTTCTCCAGAGTAAATTATGAGTGAGTGAGATATAACTGAGTAATTATATTGAGATGAAATAATTGAGAGTATTGACAAACAGTAAAAATGCATTTATAAATGCAGTTTCGTAATTAAGATATAGTAGCACTTAACATTCATTCACAGTCAGGCATTTGTTGCTTGTGTGTTTTATAGAAGTTACTAATAAAGGAACTGGTAAGAATGTTTGGGTGTGGACTACATACCTAGTGCTTTAGGGGCAATGATGCTGGTGGGGGGAATAGTAAGGAAAAATTTAAACACCAAAGAGCTTTCTCCTATATTCTGTATACTTGCTTTCTAAAATAAAAGCAGTGTGTGCACTTGACAGGTGGAAATGTACTTCCCTTCGAAAACTGGTAATAATGAAATGCCTCTGGTAGCTGTCATGTGAATCTCTCTTGAGAAAAGTTTCTGGCAGTTAGCCCATCTCATGAACTCTCTTGTAACATTCTTAAAATACCGTGTTAAGACCCTAGTTTTCATACATTTATTGAGAAGACAACAGAAAAAGATCAGGTTTTATTTTTTGTCAAGTGTTTTGGATTTGGAAATATACTGGGTTTTCTCAAGGATTCTCTATTATCTGTTACATAAGACCATTACTGCAAACTTAGTGACTTAAGCAACACATTTGTTATCTCTTGGTTTCTGGGGGTCAGGAGCCTGGGTACAGCTTAGTCCAGGCCTCTGCAGGCTAGAATGCAGATGTCAGCCAGGGCTGGAGCCTCTAATGAGGAAGAATTAACTTTAAGCTCACACTCTTGGCAGAATTCAGTTCCTTTTTTTTTTTTTTAATCCTCACCCGAGGACATTTTTCCACTTTTTGTTCAGGTAGAGTCGGGGAGAGAGAGAAAAACATTGATGTGAAAGGGACATATCGAGTGGCTGCCTCCTGCATGGCCCTCACCCAACCAGGGCCAGGGACAAACTGCAACCTAGGTATGTGCCCTTAGCGGGAACCTAACTCGGGTCTCTCTGGACCACAGGCCGACACTCTAACCGCTGAGCCAAACCGGCCAGGGCAGAATTCAGTTCCTTTCTACATGGTTCTGGCCATAGGCAGCTTTTCAGCATGCAGGTGCTTGCTTTTCAAAACCAGCAAGTGTGTGTCCCTAGCAAGACTGGCATTACAGTTTAGGTATCGTGATCACAAACATCCTGTCACCTTTATTCTGTTGTTTAGAAGTGACTCAACAAGTCCCACCTACACTCAGGGGAAGGAGTTTACATGGGTGTGAATGTTAGGAGGCATGGGTCATGGGACCACCTTAGAGTCTGTCTGCCACTCAGTCCCACCAGGTTATTTCTTTCTTTTTTTTTTTTTTTAATTAATTTTTTTCTTTATTGATTTTAGAGAGGAAGGGAGAGGGTGAGAGAGAAACATCGATGAGAGGGAACATTGATTGGCCGCCTCCTGCATGTCCCCCACTGGGGCCCACAACCTGGACATGTGTCCTGACCAGGAATCGAACCGGCGACCTATTGGTGCATGGGTTGATGCTCAACCACTGAGCCATACTGGCTGGGCCTACCAGGTTATTATTTCATAAAAATTTGAATTAAAGTTGGATTGCTAGTGGGTTACTGATGAATGATGCTGTACGTAAGACCTAATGATTCCTGGGCTTTTTGTCACATGCTGAGTTATTCTTATCTCTTAAAAATAAAATAATTGTAAATCAGCATTTAACTTCTAAAGCCTATTCTATACCAAATAAATATCAAATTTGAACTCAGGTTAATGGAAATAAACTACAAATATTTGGTTTTACAAACACTAAAAACTAAATATTAGTGTTATATATAACTTTGGGATCTACTTTTCTGATCTGCTAGACTGAGTTATTTCGAGATACATATCCAGTAAGGATTGAACTGTATAAACTTCTTGCAAGATTGATCTTATAGTCTGGCTGGTGTGGGTCAGTGGTTGAACATCGACCCATGCATCCAAAGGTTGCCAGTTTGATTCCCGGTCAGGGCCCATGCCCAGGTTATGGGCCTGATCCCTGTGTGGGGGCATGCAGGAGGCGGCCAATAAATGTTCTCTCATTGATGTTTTTATCTCTCTCCCTATCTAAAATCAATAAAGAGCCCTGGTCAGTTTGGCTCAGCGGTTGGAGTGTCGGCCTGTGGACCAGAGAGTCCCAGGTTCGGCTCCTGCTAAGGGCATGTACCTCGGTTGCAGTTTGTCCCCGGCCCTGGTTGGGGTCGTGTGGGTGGCAACCACTTGATGTGTCTCTCTCACATCGATGTTTCTCTCTCACATCAGTGTTTCTCTCTTTCTTCCCCCCTCTCTCCCTCTTGTTCTATCTGAAGATAAATGCAAAAATGTCCTCGGGTGAGGATTTAAAAAAGTAAAATTAAAATCAATAAAGAAAAAAATTTGTTTTAAAAAGCCCTGGTCGGTTTGGCTCAACAGTTGGAGCATCAGCCTGCGGACCAGAGAGTCCTGGGTTCGGTTCCCACTAGGGGCACGTACCAAAAAAAAAAAAAAAAGCCCTGGCCAGTTTGGCTCAGCGGTTAGAGCGTCGGCCTGTGGTCCAGAGAGACCTGGGTTCGATTCCCGCTAAGGGCATGTACTTCAATTGCAGTTTTTCCCGGCCCTGGTTGTGTCGTGCGGGTGGCAGCCACTTAATGTGTCCCTTTCACGTTGATATTGCTCTCTCTCTCTCTTCCTTTTTCTTCCTCCTGCTCTGTCTGAATAAAAAATGGAAAAATGTCCTTGGGTGAGGATTAAAAAAAAAAAAGCCTTAAAAAAATTGATCTTTTATTTAAAAACCCTTTGCTGTGAAAAAATAAAAGATGCAAAAACTAAAAATACAGCTGAACGAATTCATATAAAGGGGACATCCATGTAACTACCACTTACATTGACAGCACCCAAATTTCCTTCTCACTTAAAACCCTCTCCCTGCTTAGCAGTAACCATTATCCTGACTTTTTACAGCAATCACTTCTCGCTTCCTAATCATGGGCATTTTGTATTGCTCTAAAGGCCTTCTTGGCAAAGATTACTCATTTGCTGCACCAGAGTCTGTCTTTCCTTTCTGAGGCACATGATCAAACTACATGGCTCAGTCTTCCAGTCAGGTGTGGCCAAGTGGCAGGTTCCTGTCAGGGTGTGTGTACACCATTTCCAGGGTAGGCCTGAAAGCTTGCTTCTTAGCTGGCTGCCTCTTGCCTTCCCTCCAGTTGGAACCTGAAACGACTCC